TGGGAAAATGTACTTAAAACACCATACTTCTCCATAGTTATGGGTGTGACGACCCCGCCCAGTCTTGCCACATCCGAAATGTGAATTGCCATCATAAACCACACCTAAAAATGAATTCGTTCTAATAGTCACACCTGTAGTTGATGGTAACTATGGGAAAATGTACTTAAAACACCATACTTCTCCATAGTTATGGGTGTGACAACCCCGCCCAATGTTGCAAGATCCGAAATGTGAATCGCCATCATAAATCACACCTAAAAATGAATTCGTTCTAATAGCCACACCTGTAGTTGATGGTAACTATAGAGCTGTTGCACGGATGTAATCAACGGGGTAGGCGGGGCTTCCTGTCGGCCATCTTGAGTGGCAAGAATGTACACGCAACGAATGGAGGAATGGAAACAAACTGCGATTTTTCATCAAAGAGATATCATACTTCACTGCAGAATATTATAGAGACTTCTTTACTCAATATCTTCATCTCCTACCTTGCATTAGCCTGGAATGTCAACTGCAGAATTTATTTAAATTTTTTTCTCCATTCCCCCATTCATTCTTAGCCTTCTTGCCACCCAACATGGCGGACAATTTAGCTCAATTTTAGCCACACCCTCCCGTTGATTACTTCCGTGCAACAGCTCTATGGGAAAATGTACTTAAAACACCATACTTCTCCATAGTTATGGGTGTAACGACCCCGCCCAGTCTTGCCACATCCGAAATGTGAATCGCCATCATAAATCTCACCTAAAAATGAATTTGTTCTAATAGTCACACCTGTAGTTGATGGTAACTATGCATAGGCGGCGGCAGGATTTAAGGAGCAGTGGGACGAAGAATGGCGCGCGAAGCGCGCCGCGATTTTGGCCACACCCACTTTTTCCACGTATTTTGGGCGTATACTCAACGCACTCATACAATATGGTATAGCATAAAAATGAGCCTAAAAGGCCCCCTATCTTATCTGTAAAGCTCTATCCAACCTGTAAAATGCTAGTCCTGGTCCTCCTGGAAGGCTTGTTGACAAAGGAAAGCAGAAAAGACTGTCTCTTGCTAGCCATGGTAATTATTTATGACTAAAAATGATGTCATTAATTAAATTTTCATTTCCGGCCAAAATTTTTGGTCGGGCATTGCCCGTCCATGCCCGACCCTGCCGCCGCCTATGTAACTATGGGAAATTGTACTTAAAATACCATATTTGGTATAATTGAAATTTTGTCCATGGTTATGCAATTTATGGGTGTGTCAACTGACTCGACTCCACCTCTACTTGCAACACCATGCACAATCCAATATACATATTTTGTAATGCACCAAAAAAATAATAGTCTGAGAGTCTAAGAGTGTCTTGGAATGAGCTATTTTACATGATTCATTAAGCCGAGGAGTTTTTTAAAGGTATAGCTAAATTAATGCATGTCAATTTCAATATTCATGCATTGAAGCATTTGGACTCTTATCAACAAAATTTAGCATGCTACATTTTATCTACATTATACTTTTTTGCATATAACTTGGTTCCTAGCTGTACTTGCATGATGAACACATGTCAAGTGCATGTACCATATCCTCTCACCTATAAATGATAACCAGATAGTTCCATTAAGAGCCAACAGACCAATGAGATGATAGCACATTGTTGAGATATCAAAGAAGAAAAAAATATGGCTCCAAAGAAGAAGTTTAAAAATGTTCAGACTGATTTGTTATTAGAGTTTATAAGACAAGAAGGATGTCCACCCAAAAATGCTT